AATTAAAAATCTCAGTCCTAGAGGCTAGGGCATAACTCAGCAGCATAGCTCAGCAGCATGAGCAGCTGCCTGGCAAGCACAAAATCCTCAGTTTGATCTCTGGTACCACAAAAAAAAATAACAAATAAAAAAATATAAAAATCCCAGTTCCAGAACATCCCCTACCAGCCCCGAGCAGCATACCCTGAGTTCACAGACCCTGTGGATTATTTCAGCGATATTTCACAGGGAAGAGCGAATAGGCAGTTTTTCTGTTATGCTTGTGTGAAAATAGCATATGATGTTATATCAGAAAATAACATATGATGTTATATCAGAAAAGCAGGCTATCTCTATGAAATGTCTTTGCCTATATCTCCTGAAAGGAAGGTGTCTGGCATCATAGGTGATGGGGGTCATTAACACTGTCTGCTACCACCACTGTCACCAGCAGCAGCAGCAGCACAGTTTCCTCACATATCTGTTGAACACTTGACATGCATCACACCGCGATGTTTCTTTCCACTCAGAGCACAAGAGCTCCCAAGAACGTAAAGGCAATTTCCACCTTCTTAGCTCCCCAGAGCACTCTCTAAAATAATCATCTATTAAACTGGATTCTGTGGACCCTGAACCACATCTGAATGGCTTTATTAAGCTGTTAGTTCGTAGAGGCATTTGAATACCTCCAAGCCTTTTGTAAAAGTGTTTTGAAAAAATTAAAAATGTAGCAAGCACAGGGTGGGAGCGTGATCACTTTCCTAACAATCTGTACTTGAACTCTTGTGGCATTCGGCAGAAACCGTACGTGTGCAAAATTCCAGGCTGCACAAAGCGTTACACGGATCCCAGCTCCCTGCGGAAGCATGTGAAGACTGTGCACGGCCCTGAGGCGCATGTCACCAAGAAGCAGAGAGGGGACATGCACCCTCGGCCCCCGCCCCCCAGAGATTCCGGCAGCCATTCCCAGTCCAGGTCCCCTGGTCGGCTGACGCAGGGAGCCCTCGGGGAGCAGAAAGACCTCAGCACCACTACCTCAAAGCGGGAAGAATGCCTCCAGGTGAAGACTGTCAAAGCCGAGAAGCCCATGGTATGTCATTCCCTCTCCTGATTGTCCATAGCCAACTCAAAGTCACTTAAAAGAACCCAGCAGGGCATTTAGAGGGATAAGATCCTCACTACATCAGGCCCCTCTGACTCAAGGAGATCCTGAGGTGGGTTGTGTCCTCCAAGCTGATGGGTTTAGGGTAACTCCTAAGTAAAACATTGCCAGGACTCCTAATTCATTCTAAAATTGATCAATGCACCCATAATGTGTAGAAACCCATTCACTCATTCCATAAATATGTTTTCTGGCTTCTTTACCAAGTGACTGTAAGATAAATAAGCTACAATCCTTATTCTGTTGGGATTTACAGTCCAATGGAATAGATGAAAAATACCAATACTTACCATGCAGGGTCTTAGGGGCTCAAAAACAGCCTGTTCAAGGTACAAGCAAGACTACTGACTGTTTCAGGGACAGAGCCCACAAAGACAGGCCCAGTGGACAAGGAGGAGGGCAGGCAGAGAGGCCCCAGTCCAGGGCCCCGACCTAGGGGACATACAGGAGCGGCAGGGCTGGGGACAGAAAAGGGCCTGGCAGGGTGCAGTTTTAGGCAGAGCTCCAGTATAACAGCAGACCATTTCTGTATTTGTGCCTGAGCGCATGAGGCCGAAAGCAAAGAAGGATTTTTAAAAATTCTTGTAGCCTAACACTGCTTTGGCTTGGATGGTGCTACTCTTCCAGCTGCTTGATGGTTTGGCTTCCTGTATGTGCTGTGACCAAGCACCTGAAGATTTCAGAAAATAGCAAGGAAAATGAAAGGAGTCACTGTCAGAGAAGACTGAGTACATTTCTCTCTGGTCACATGTACTACGGATTTAACTAAATGAGTATAGTGGGACCTCATCCCCGACTCTCACCTGTGGAGGGGATGTGCCAGGTAGTGGTTTCGTGCTTAGAGTTTTGGTCACACAGCAAAGCTTGGCGAAACAGATTTGTACTCAGTTAAGGAAGCAAGTTCTTGCAGTCAGGTCAGTCTAGCCTTGAGACTGACGTTCTTCGAACTCGTGAGTGATGACGTCAATGCCAAGAGGCCCGTGTGAGCAGGAAGTCACAGATCCAGTGAGAAGCTGCATTTTAACGATTTACTGGGTTTGTCCTTGAACTCTCAAGGTCTTTTACACAGTGATATGAATCCCAGCCAAAAATAATGCCAGTTAGCTCTCCAGAGTTAGCGCTAATTCTCACTGGGTAGCAGTACTTAGCTTTTAGGAAGCATTTTAATCAAATGTTTATATATTTCGATTGACCATTGTATTTTTAAATTAATCAGTGAATAAACTGCATTTCATATGTTTAGAGGGAGCCATGAATCTGTGTGATAATTGAACAGAGCATTCAACAGTTTATTCTCAAGCATTGAACGCAAAACTGGAAAGTGAATTTATGGTCTCCTCGATTACATGATGGAAAGACTAGGGCTTATGTTCTTGGAGTTCTTGTTCCTTTAATGTGTATTCCTAGCTCACGACGGTTTGCTCTCTTCTTTCCTGACGCTCATTCTCTAAGAAGAAAATGGATAGTAATAAAAATTTCTAGTGATTCGACTCAGTGACAGCTGAGATGGCTGACATATTTTCTGGATAAATCAAATGATATAAATACAGAATGAAAGGGGGTCACAGAGCCAAGCCTGGGCCCCCTGTTCTCCCAAAATTGAAGCTCCCATGCTTGTGCTGTTCTGTACATTTGGGTATTCACACATCTGAGTACAAGTAGTTAGCTTCACAGTCTTTACTAATGACCATGAAATTTACATTTCTAATATTCTTTCTTTGAAACATGCCTTTACTTTGATCATCTTGCTATGAATTAAATTCTTTCTTCTTTTTTCTTACTGCAACATCTCTTCTGTCTAATGCTCCTCAATGTCTTGTTCTCACTTCCTAAGGACAGTGGGTAATAAGGTGAGGGAATTTTGTCTTCTCTGTTCTTTTTGTTTGCATTTTAACATTTGACGTTTTCTTCATTTCATGTTCTTTAGTTTTGTGGCTTTGTGACATCTTTGGTAGTGCACATTATTCGCCATGTTTTAAACACGAAAGTGTTGTGTTTTGAGTGTTCAGCATGTGGAAAATGTTGATTTAGATGATGAAATTCATTGTTCTGTTCGTGTAGGTTTTCATAATAAATCACACCGGGGCTGACCAAGCAGACTCTCTTACATTTTATTAATTCTAGTATAAATTCATTCTTAAGCTAAATATCTCCACCTTCTTTGAGGAAGAGTTACATATATTTGTTATTAACAATTTAGTCTCAGGGCTGGCCAATTAGCTCAGCGAATTAAAGCACCTGCAAGCAGGCACAGGGCCGGGGGTTTGTTTCTGCCATTGCTGCAGGCAAACAAAGGCTGGGACATCCTGGACCCTGGGTCACACTGAGATGGCAACTAAGACTGGGCATCGGTTCATGCTGAGATGTCAACTGAGACTGGGCATGGTGGTGTGTACCTGTAATCCCAGCTTTTGGGAGGCTGTAAACAGGTGGATCACTATGAGTCCAGTCTAGTAGTGAGACCCTGAACACCCTGTAGACCCTTCCCTAGAATACGAAAATAAAACAAAACAAAAAAAGTTTAATCTCTATTTAAATGTGCGCTCATTGGAGCAGTTTCCTAATTGTAGGTACATGCATGCCTTCTTACAGTCCCTATGGGAGTGCATGTCTGTACATGTGTGTATTCGGGTATATACATTCATACTCACCCACGTTCTCAGTGGACAGGCCAGGACTGTAAGACATGCCAAGCGCTGGAACCTCTGAGTGCCTCAGGAAGGAGAACATAGCCTGCGGTACGGCGTCTATGGAGGCAAAACATTCAGGATGTCCCAGCCTTTGCCCGCCGCGATGGCAGAAACAAAGTGATCGTTTCCCTCTTACCCCTGCCTTGATCATCATCCTGGCTGAGGCCACACCACAGCAGGAAAATCTAGGACGAAGAAAAGATTACAGAGAGCTTGAATGCCAGTGCTGGGGAGCCTCTAGGGGCGCTTGCTGGGGAGAACGTGATGTGTCCCATGCAATGGAGCTTACATTTATGTTTCAGCTCCCCAAAATGAGCCCTAATATTAAACCAGTTGACAGTAATAATTGTTAATGTATTATGAGCTAATTATAATTATCCCAGTCTTTTTGCACCTGCCTGCTCTCTGGACTTCATATTAATTCCCCACAACAATCCTTAAAATAAAAGATGCCCATTTTACAGATAAGGAAATGGATGTTGTGAATGGTTCAGTAATTTGCTCAAAGGTGAAAGTCCTAGGGGTGGATTGATTGAAAAAGAGGAAGTGTATGCGCAGCATTGGTGTTTGGGACAGGATTCCATGGCTGCGTTCATGCTGGTCACCCCGTGTCCTCTGCTGTCCATTGCCCCCCCTTCACATTGGCCTGGCAGCCCATTGTCCTCTTGGTCCAAAAGCCACCTCTATCCATCAGAGCCTAGTTTTCCTTCTCATCATCCAGCTGCTCACATGAAGGTCCTGGTCCGCAGGAGCTGTCCTTGTGGGCTTCCTTCCTTTGCCCCGGCTGATGGTGTCTCCTCTCTCACCCTTGATGCCCGCAGACATCTCAGCCAAGCCCTGGTGGTCAGTCTTCATGCAGCAGCCAACAGTCCCCCATCAGCAGCTATTCCAACAGTGGGCTCGAGCTTCCTCTGACCGATGGAGGTAGTGTTGCAGACCTCAGTGCCATCGACGAAACCCCGATCATGGACTCGACCATTTCCACTGCCACCACAGCCCTTGCTTTGCAAGCCAGGAGGAATCCAGCAGGGACCAAATGGATGGAGCACATCAAACTCGAAAGGTTGAAACAAGTGAATGGAATGCTTCCGCGACTGAACCCCATTCTACCCCCTAAAGCCCCTGCGGTCTCTCCTCTCATAGGAAGTGGTGAGTCTCCATTGGATCCCAGGCCTGCTTAGGTTTCTCTGTTTATCTCAGAATGTTTCTTAGCTTTCCTGCCAGTCTTAACTAAAAGTATGCCATAAATTCACCCATTTGAAAAAAAAAAAAAAAACAAAAAACTCATAGTATCACCAGTCAGGCTATAGGGGCTCAAAAACACACCTGGGCAAAGCACATGCAAGACAATTGGCTATGCTCTCAGGGGCAGAGGCGACAATGACAGGAGGCCAGGAAATGGGGAGGGCAGGCAGAGAGGCCCCAGCTTGGGGGCCTGACCCATGGGATGCACAGGAGCAGCAGGGCCAGGACAGGGAAGGGCCTGGCAGGATAAAATTCTAGACAGAGCTCCAGTATCAGATCTGAGGTTATAGAAGTGGAGACCATTTCTTAATTCTTGCCTGAATTCATGAGGCAGAGAACAGAGAATTCTCACCCCACTAGAGTTGCCTTTCTGGATGGTTCCTGTGGTCCGGAACAGAATAATACAACTGGAAGACAGTGAGTGACACATGCCCTGAGAATGAAATAATCTCCTTGGCAGATGCATCGTGGTTCACACCCTGTCTGATTTCCAAAATCTAAGACCCAGAAATTAGCAACCACATTTAGTTGCTAATTTAGGAGACCCGAGTATCCCTTCCCGTGGTCATCCCCTACCCCCTAGATCAGGTTTGCTTTTCACCTGGCACTGGAGGAGTCAGTGGCCAGGCTCACAATACCTGGACCCCATCCTAAAGGTGCTGCTCTCGGTGTCCCATTTATAGGCTGTGAGACAAATGGGAAGCCTGACTGTGCATGTGAAACGGGGAAATACTGTTGCATAAACTTGGGCGCTATGTGTGTCTCGAGTCATGCTGGTTTGTCCTTGGCGTTGTGCCAATGGAGGACCTTACCTAAATTGAGGGAAGGTTGACATTGCTTTGTTTAAACCAGGGATCAGCACAATACAGCCCAGAGTCCATGTACACCATGCTGCTTGTCTTTGTAAACAAAGTACTAGTGCACCCCACATTCATTTACTTGCTGTTGTCTGTGGCTGCTGGAGCTCAGGGCTCCAGAGCTGTGTGGTTGCCTCAGAGACCACAGAGACCTGGGGAGGCGAAAGGTGCTTCAAAGCCTTTGCATACCTGGTTGAAGGCGCCCTTGGGTTCACAACTTCTGTTTTCTCTGCCCACTTCCTCTGCAGGCACACAGTCCGGTAACAACTGCAGTTCGGGTGGACCCGTGACTCTTCTCCCAAACAGAGGTGACTTCCCTGGGGTAGACCTCACCATGCTGAACACACTCGCCCGAAGGGACAGCAACACCAGCACCATCAGCTCTGCCTACCTGAGCAGCCGCCGCTCCTCGGGCATCTCCCCATGCTTCTCCAGCCGCAGGTCCAGTGAGGCATCGCAAGCGGAGGGCCGGCCTCAGAATGTGAGCGTGGCTGACTCCTATGACCCCATCTCCACCGATGCCTCACGCAGGTCCAGCGAGGCCAGCCAGAGTGACGGGCTGCCCAGCCTGCTCAGCCTTACTCCTGCCCAACAGTACCGCCTCAAGGCCAAGTATGCCGCGGCCACCGGAGGGCCACCGCCCACACCATTGCCACACATGGAGAAGCTCAGCCTGAAGACCAGAATGGCCCTGCTCGGGGACAGCCGGGAGTCTGGGGTGACTTTGCCTCCCGTGCACCCTCCTCGGAGATGCAGTGATGGGGGAGCCCACACTTATGGCCGGCGCCATCTGCTCCCACATGATGCCCTGGGGAACAGTGTAAGGAGGGCCAGTGACCCAGTGAGGATGGCCTCTGAGAGCCTGCCACCACCCAGGGCCCCACGCTTTAGCAGCCTCAACAGCTTCAGTCCTCCATCTGCTGAAAAGCGGAACCTGGTGCTGCAGAATTATACTCGGCCTGAGGGCAACCAGCCGCGTCCCTTCCATGTGTCCCCCTGTCCTCCCAGCATCACGGAGAACATCACGCTGGAGTCCCTGACCATGGATGCTGATGCCAACTTGAATGATGAGGATTTCTTGCCTGACGATGTGGTGCAGTATTTAAACTCCCAGAATCAAGCAGGATATGGGCAGCACTTACAGAGTGCCATCCCAGAGGACAGCAAAGGACCCCACGGGTCAGGTGACTTTGACCCATCTGGGCTGCCAGACAGCCATGCTGGCCAACCGTTCCGTTCCTTGGAGCAGCCAGGCATGGAAGGCAGCAAAAGTGACCTGCCTATTCAGTGGAATGAAGTGAGCTCAGGAAGTGCAGACCTGCCCTCTTCCAAGCTAAAAGGCAGCCAGCGCTCCGTGGTACAGCAAGCTCGGGCCTTTGGACTGTACGGCGGCATGGTGGTCCCCCCGCAGAACTCGTGGAGGGTTGGCCCGGGCCCAGGTGGGGGATATCAGGGCCTTGGGGAAAATGGCAGTGCCTACAGTAGTGACCTGGAGCCCTTGGCCATCCCTGCTGGCACCAGTGCCAGCCCCGGTGGAAATGCCTTCCCTACATACCCCTGTAAGGCCCAACAGTATGTGAACTGTGTGGCCAGGCAACCTGTCCCTCCTGGGACACTAGACAGTACCTGCAGCGCTGGGATTCAAGGGTCCAAGCTGAAGAGTGCCACTGTGCACGGGAATGGGGGTCCTCTGGATTTTGTCATGCCGGTGGCACCAGGCGAATCAGCTGGCATCACAGTGAGTGGCATGCAGACCCCAGAGCCTCTGGGACAGGGCTGCCTCCCTCACCAGCTCCTCGGGGACAGTGTGCAGCAGCACCAGGGGGCAGGCCGTGCCGGGCAGCAGGTGCTTGGGCAGGCCAGTGCTACCTCACACATCAGTTCCTACCAAGGGCCAGAGGGCTGCCTGCCCGGGACCCACGGAGTCAGCTGCCAGCTGTCTGGCCTGGCAGGGGTCAGGGGCTACCAGTCCTGCGTCAGCTATGGGGGCATCCGGCGCCAGGCTATGCCAAGGGCCAACCTCATGCTTCAGCAAGGACAGCTCAGTGACACAAGTCAGACCTGCAGGGTGAACGGCATCAAGACAGAGATGCCTGGGCAGCCCATGCAGCTCTGTGCCAATGTGCAGAATTACTCTGGTCAGTTCTATGACCAAACTATGGGCTTCAGTCCACAGGACACTAAAGCTGGCTCATTCTCCATGTCCAGTGCCAGTTGCCTGCTACAGGGGGCAGGCACAGAAAACTCTGAGTTACTATCCCCAGGTGCTAACCAGGTGACGAGTACCGTCGACAGCCTCGACAGCCACGACCTTGAAGGGGTGCAGATTGATTTTGATGCTATCATAGACGATGGGGACCACGCCAGCCTGATGTCAGGGGCCCTGAGCCCAAGCATCATTCAGAACCTTTCCCATAGCTCCTCCCGCCTCACCACACCGAGAACCTCCCTCCCTTTCCCAGCCTTGTCTGTGAGCACCACCAACATGGCGATTGGGGACATGAGCTCTTTGCTGACCTCCCTCGCAGAAGAAAGCAAATTCCTTGCGGTCATACAGTAGGCATTAGGCAAGAAGGACTGCGAACAGATGCAAAACCCTAGGAGTTGAAAGACTGAACTGACACCGTGTTGGCTGGTTGGGTTTGGTTTTTTGTTTTATTTTATTATTATTATTTTTTTTTAGTTCTGTATGTATTTTAGTAATGTCATCTCACCGCACTGGGATGTGTTTCAAGTATATTCCTTTTATGGAAAAGGACTCTGAAAACCCCTAAGGTATTCTAGGGAGAAACTGTCTTCCATTTCAGTTTTGGATCAGTATTGTGACACTAAAACCACCCTCTTTTCTTTTTAACTGTAAGCCCACCCCTTTTATAGTAAACCTATGTAAATGTGTGATGTGCGGGTTCTTTCTTTTTAGAAGAGAAGTCAAATTTGAAAGGGTTGTACATGTTTCTCTGTTACGCCCAAGAACTAGGAGTTGGTGTGCTTGTGACCACAGGGTCATTTGTCCAGACTCTTTGTAATTCCCCTTTACATATGCTCAATGTTTGGAGTGTGTGTGTGTATGCATGTGCGTGCGTGCGTGCGTGCGTGTGTGTGTGTGTGTGTGTGTGCATGTTAAATTCCCACATTGAGCACAAGAATCAGAATGTGGATAGTGAGTTTGATCATCATTTCAGGGTGCATAGACAGATTTTATGTGCTCCCAACCCCAGTGTAATTCAGGTTATGCTCTCCACAGGGCACACCAATGGATAGGTGGGGCGCTTGCAGGTGAGCCCCTCAGCTCCTGCTTTGTGCGCTTCCATAAGTCTTTCGCTTCCTTAAGTGTGCTTTGGGCTCATCTATGTGGTCAGTTCTCAGCTATCTCTCTTCCTTCTCTCTAGCTTGATGAATATTCACTGCTGCTTAGCGCTGCAGTGAGACAGAACAGGCAGTTGGTGATGCTGAGGCACATCGCTCCTTCTTTCCGTTCTCCTAAAAAGTTGGATAGGTGATAGATTGAAGCAAGAGGGTAGAATTAGGTTGGAGGGTACTTGAGGGTTAGCTGTATTGATTAGTTTCATCTCTTTCCCATTGTCATAGATCACTAAGGATTGATTATCTGTAGCTCTATGTATATAGGCATTTAAACAACCCCACAATCGGCTATACATTAACATTTATTAACTCCACTACAGTGAAGGAGTCTGTCTATTCAAAGTGTCTTATTTTTTAAGAGATTTTTAAAAACTTAGACCTAAAAGAAAAAGCACCTATATATTGATATCAAGAATAAATCAGCTCATCCAATTTTAGCATTTGACAATAGGAAGGGAAGGAAGGAAGGAAGGAAGGAAGGAAGGAAGGAAG